CCGTGTTCAGGAGCGACATACAGAGTCCGACGAACTTTCGTCCTGCCGCAGAAGGTGACATTGCCATCGTCATCCTGCACCACCACATCGTTGATGCATTGCGCGAAGGACTCCGCACTATACCCCATACGCCGGCACATCCGTGCGGATGGCCTTGTTTTAGCTGTTTTCAGGTGGATCCATGGAAAGCTTGCTGATGTCCTCAGCCTTCGCGATGTCGGGGGCCTCCCACATTTTATCGGTGATCTCTTCATGCTTCACCGCAGGCTTCGGATTCAAAAAGCCTCGTTTTTTGGCATTCCAATCCTCCATTGCCTTGGCAACGACTGGGTTGCTGGCCTGATTGGGCTCCACGTAACCTGCTTCCTCGTTGGTTTTGAAGTAGTGTTCAAGCATCAACAGGACTTGTCTACCGCGAACGGCTTTGCAGTTAATGGCCTGTCGTGCGAGTTCCTCCTTGGCAACCCGTGACAAAGCCAACAAGATCTTACTGTCGAGAGTCAGGAACTTGCCCGTATGCCAGAAGGACTCAAGAGTAGCCGACCGCTCATACACTTCCTGAACCCATTTAAAGGCTTCAGCAGGCTTGTCCGAGGTGGCCCTCACGGCTTCGCGCATTGAAAACGTCCACGATCGGTAAGTCTCCGGAATAGGAAAGTCGGGTAGCTTCACGGTTTCAGCTTCCTTTGCCTTGAGTTAGGCTTGCCGATTGTGGCTGTGAGTGCGCTTGCAAGCAGATCACTAGCTTCACCCTGCTTGGGGGCCTCGCTAGGCTTTTGCTCTACTTCAGGAGCTGGGTCTTTCGCCTGATTTGGCCCATCGCCAAGGTTGAATGTCTGGGGCCTGCCTGGGATTCCTACAGGTTCAGGAATCTGGTAGGGACTGGGCAGACTAGGCATCTAAGAACTCCGGCGGGCTAGGTTTTGGCGAATCACTCTCACGCACCAGCATGTGGGGCTCCAACTTGCGTAGGGCTGCTGAGTCGGCCTCAGCCTGCAGTTCTGCATTCTGATCTATCAAATCTGTTTCCAAATCGTCATGCTGCAACTCTTCAGCCTTCAACCTTTGAAAACCGTCGTCTTCTTCCCACTGGAGCTTTTCCTCCAACTCCTGCGCTAAGTATTCGAGAAGGTTTGATTTGTTGGTGTCGAACGATGTACGAAGCTGTGAGTCTGTAGCTCGTTGTGCTTGAGTGCCGCCTCGAAGTGGAGTGCGCCTATTGCAAGCGATATATTCTGTGTTGTGAGCCATGTTGCTGGTTGCCGCTCCTCATGGCAATCTGTCTCACTGCGAAGTAGCCTTGCCCGATATGCATTCCACTTGCTAACAAACATGTTGATCTGTTGGCCCTCTTGGAGCAACTGCGTGAAGTAGTTCTGTGCATTGGATCCCGTGCTACCGTCATCCCCAGAGGGTTTCCAGTCTTGATCGTAACGCTTTTGCTGACCAATGCCATGAGAGCTACCTACGGCTGATAACCTGAAGTTTCAGGTATCACAGCTACGTGCAGTCACTAACCGTGAAGTCAACCCTGGTGACCCCTTCTTGGTCATGGGGACTTGAGCCCATACAGGTCGCGTAAAGGTAATGCTAAGGGTAGCAAAAGTACAGAAGAAGGCAGGGTAAAATCTACAACACTTACACACAATATCACAGAAACTGCATGGCGGCCTGGCCCACTGCAACCGGATGGCAGCCGACCACCCGCTCCATCCAGAAGACGAAAGCGGCTAGGTACTCACTGTTCTCCGCCACGGACAAGTACACATCCCCCAGGTCGATTGTCAATGCCAAGGGTCGATCAAATTTGAAGACCGGAACGTCGTCTCTTGCAGCACATTCTGCCCTCTGAGCCCCCTCTTCGCAGTGGAATTCTCTCTGTGCTTCTCGCACCACCTGCAGCATATCCTGAGCAGGAGCAAGCAGGTGAAAAGGACCAGAGGAGGCTTTCAGAGAGATTGAAGGAGACTTGGGCAGCCGGGACTCTTGAATGGTTTGGACGGTGTTGAGCGCATCCACGAGGTCCCCCGAAGAGGCGATGCAGTTCCTGAAGTTGGCCACATCCGTCAATGCGCCCGCCACGCAGCTGCGAGGCAAGATCGCCTCCACGGAGGGAAGACCCTCCAAGTTCCAGAGAAGAATGGATTCGGGAGTGCTCAGCCTGGCATCCTCTTGGATCAAAGCGGAGTACTGCAAAAAGTCATGGAAGTCCTTGCGCAGGGCCGCTCTGGTAGCCAGGTCGGAACCCCAACGGCCATCTTCCCAATACCAGGAAAGGTCGAAGGAGGGGATGACTTTCAGGTTGTTTGCGGTCGCTTGCTCTAGGAATTGCGTGTGGCTTCGATGTCCAAAGCTCCATGGAGCCAAGAGAAGCGCATTCGCACCGAGCTCGTTTCGGATCACTGGCAGATCTCTCGCCTCGGCTAGCTCCGAACTCGGACACCTACATGAACCAGGGTCTACCAACACCTCTCCCAGCCGAGTCAGGTGAGCAGCATGAATCTCTTGGTAGATGTTGGTATAGGGATCACGGTCTGGGTTCGTGAACACACCTTCGACAGAAGTCAGAAGTTGGGAGCGGGAGTTTCTCACTTCAGGGTGACAGCCCATTCAATGCATGTTGCTTGTAGTATCGACTTCCCCGATACAGCCGAGTTCGTTCTGGTACGTTTGCTCCGTTTTCATAAGCCATAGTGCACTGCCTACTTCATACTCAACTGCATGTCCTACGGCATTGTCTCAGCACTCATGCCCTTTGCTAAGAACCCTTCTCAAAAACATAGAAGAGGGAAGCCCTGCCCAGCTAGCAGGACTGCAATCATTTCCCTTGCACCAAGACATGATCACAAATCAAAATGATGTAGAGGCAGCTGCCTTGGTAGCCAACTGGCTCAGGCCAGTACTTCACAGCGTGGATTTGCATGTCAGTTGGTATCACAGCACCAGTGCCCATGTCGAGCATCTCCAAATCTGTGCAGGAACACGAAGTTGTTGCACAGGTCCAGGGTGTCTGCATCCGCACTTGGACGGAAGAATTTGAAGCCAGCATCAGCCGTGGGAAGAGCCATAGGAGGGCTCCGATTGCTATGTCTCTCCGAGCCATGCTGGCTCAGACTCTTCAGGCCTGTACCTCTTGAGCAAAAGCTGCTTTACAGTCGCCTGTCGGAGCGCTGTGTGCTTAATCGGACAACGACAGCAAGTAGCACCGCAAGCCCTCCAGCATGCGTTTCCTCCTGCAACATTGGCCCTGTGGGACCAGACACTATAAACAACAACAAGGCTGGGCGATTACATGCAGGAAGGAGGGAAACCCATCGAAGGTCGTTCTTCAACTCTTCACTTCGACACAGGCTTCCCAGTCTCTTCGATGGCAGAAAAGCTTGCCACAAGCCTTGGAGCGAATTGTTAAAAAGCCGTTGAAAACTCTCGGATTTCCCGTTCCGTCCTTCCAGACGGCTTCGTCCTTAGAAGTGAGAGTTTCAGGTCCTGTGGCAGGGGCTCCACCACGGAGTGCTCTTGCTCTGCACAGAGCACTGCCTCCTTGAAAGACAATCGGTGGCGGTGCAGAAAATTACGAGAGCACCAAACCACGTCCTCCTCAAACGTGATGCTTGCGCCGTATTTGCTGTCAGAGACCGTTGGATGGCCGATGTAAGCTGTGTGCAAGCGAATCTGGTGTCGGCGACCGGTGAAGATCACAATCTGCACGAGACTAAAGCCTTGACAAAGCCTAAAGGTTGAGCTCACCCGGCGCACATTCGACAGGGCGGGGCGCCCCTCTGGGCGAACGACACTCGCATTCGCCAGCCCACGCAGCCAGAAAACAGGCGCAGTAATTCGGCGATTCCCAATAAACCCATGACAAAGGGCAGTGTACTCACGTGAAATCATGCCCATGGAAAGCTGCAAGCGAAGATCGTAGTAACCTGAATAGCTGGTTGCAGCAAGTATCAAGCCTGAACTGGGAACATCAAGGCGATGCAGGAAACCTCGTTGATGATACCTGGCTGTCATCGTCACACATCATGACCCTTGGAGACCATCAAAGTGCCTCAAAGCTGCAAGTCGTTCAAGAGCACTTGCCGCTGGATCGGAATGGCAGAACGAAGAAACCCGGAAAGCGGTCGCCCTTCGCTGGTCATCTGATCGTCGACCTATGCACTCATACAGTTTGCGCTCAAGCATGGATGCTGGCGCTTGGGTGCATCCGCGCCTGCCAGCCTGCCGGTTTGTAAAGCACAAGCCGGTCAGACAGGTCTTCAAGAAGTCCTTCGCTGAAGCACGAGCACTCACTTTGCCGCCCGCACCCCCATTCCGTGCAACCTTGCTTCTGGGCTGGTGGCCCTCGGCTTCAATGTCGATCTCCGTGAATGCCATGGCAGCCGGCATTACGGCAGCCATGGCATCCAACCTCTTACACGCCGTCAAGACAGGCTCGGCCAGCGAAGTGGCCAGAAATCTAGACGACAGCGCGCCGGCAAGGTGGCAAGCCCAGAGCCTCAGCGCCGCCGTGCCACAAAAAGAACGAGAGCTACACTTCCCTGCGACCCCTCTCAGCCAAGGACACTTCTGCCACGACGGACACAAACTGAACCAAAACCTCTCTTGGAGCATTTTGTGTCAGCACACGTCCTCTTCGATTCAAGTCTCCTGCCAGATGTGCAGAATCAAAGCACCGCATGACATCGGCAGCGCTTCCGCCCTTGCCAGGACCTTGCAAGACGAGGAAGATCCGGGCAGCATCCACGTCCAGGCTGGCCAAGCCCCACGCCTTCGAGGACAAGGCTCTGCGCAAATTCTGTCACAGTTATTCACAGTTGTGCCTATTCACAGTTGTGCCTCAGCGAACAAAAGTTCATTCAAGCACGAACTGCGACCTGGATACAAGGTTGGCCAACATGCGCAGTGAAAGAGTCGCGGCTTGGCCAATCTCAATTTTGGATTTCGCCATCTCCACAACACCCTGAACCGAGCAATGCAAATTGTCCAAGACGAAGCATGCCCCCGCAGGCCCCGGCCTCCACAGCTGTGTCATCCAAGCCAACGGAGGCGGCAGACCAGATCCAGTTCGAAATGTCGGCAAGTGTGCTGTCGGGTTTGGGCCTCGTAAGTGCCAGCAGGGGAGCCATTTCACTCTCGCCCGCCCGGCTGAGCTTGGCCATCCTCCAGGACACTTCGCTGCGTTCAAGGGCCGACAGGTGCAGAGCATCGCAAGCATCGCTGCGCCCTTCCGACCTCAGCTGGCTTACGACTCTACCAACGACGGTCGTGGTCTCCGTTAGCAGCTCCTGTACCACTTTCCAGCGACAACTCTTCTCGCATGCGCTGATGGCAGCACTGTAGGCGAGCGCATCTGGTGAAAGGTGAAACCGGAAAGTCCTGGCAGGGCACAGCGCGGCCCGAGGGATCGTTCAAAGAGCTCAACGCACATATCACATATCCCTTCCCGCGCCTCGCGATCTGCTCAATCGCCAGATGCCAGTGACTCGACTTCTGGATTGCACTCGCGGCTGTGTCGATGCCAATCTGTGAAGGCAAGAAGTTGAGCAGAATTGTTTGCTCCTCTTCGGTGCGCTGCAAAACGCTTTGCCACTTGGAGCTCTTCTCCAGGCTGCTCGTGACTGCGTTGTGGCCCACTTCCGAGAAACGAAGGGACCGCTTTTGGATCTCCCTGCAAACATCAACCGCTCGCTGCCAAAGGCTTACACGTTCACATCCACTGATGGCTGTGTTGTGAGAGACTGAATCTGCTCGCGCAACAAGGGTCTGCATCCTTTGCAATTCACTCAAAGCTGCTTCCCACTGAGTGCCAGTCTGGGCAGCCGAGATCGCAGTGTTGAAAAGAATCGTGTCGGGCACAAGCTTCAAGCTCTCGAAGTCTCTGACCAACTCCAAAGCTAGCTGCCACTGGCTTCCACGCAGGCAGGCGGCAATGGCCGCGGTGTATGTGACAGGATCGCAGAGTTGACGTCCTGAGCCTTGTTCGCAGAAGAAGTGCAGGGCAAGCTCCCAGTTTCCGCTGCGAGCACTGGCGTCCATTGCACAACTGAGTGTGGTCTCATCCAGCAATGCCTTGAAAGACAACAGTTCATCAAGAAGACTAAGTACCATCTGCCATTGACCGCCTAAGCCACATCCTCGCATTGCTGCAGCACATGGAGCGGCCGATATCCGAAACCGTGCTGCGCGCATGCAGCAGAGTAGCTCAATAGCTTGCTCCCAGTTGCAAGTTCCGCTAAAGCTCTCCAAAACAATGTGATAGCTGACCTCATTTATGCTGTTGCTACGCTTGACGATGTCCATTGCGACTGCCCATGCTGCATGTTCACAGCAAGCGCGAACCGCCGTGCTGGTGGCAACGGCATCAACTGCACGCAGTGTTCGGAGATGCGTGAAGAGGCCCAGTGGCGCCTGCCAGCTAATGCTGGAAACCGCTGCCATCACAGTGGCATAACTGACGGAAGTCGGGCTCCGTTTTTGGCATGTCTGCATGTCCTTTAGGCATGCCAAGCAATCAGTCCAATGAAAAGCACGCATGCAGCTGGAAATGGCGGCATTCTCACTGATCACATTCCTTTCCACCTCTTGCCCCATTGAGGCCAATGCTGTCAAGGAGATGCTCCACCCCTCAGCCTCCTCGGCCGCGCGGATGGAAGCCCCATATACAGTGGGATTCCCGCGGATGTCCAACTTGCGCATCCTGCCGTCACGATAGCAAATGGTAAGTGCCTGCGCCAACAATCCTGAACGAAGCCCCGAACAGTCTTCCTTGACATCATCTGGAAAGCCCAGCTCCAGGACATGCCACGCATAGAGCTTATGCTAGAGCTGCATGCAAAGACGTTGGGCAGAATTGCCCTTCCTGGCAGCGGTGTTGCAAGTTTCGGAGGACTTGAAGGTATGCCATGGAAGGAAACTTGGTGCATGCATGAATAACGATTGCCTGCCATAGCAGCCAGCAAAGTCAGCGTTAAGTGCCAAAGCCGGCCTGGGAATAAAGCGAATAAAGGTGTTTTGAGTGAAGAGATCTCTGGTTGTCTCTGGCCAACGGCTGAGGGCCGAAGCTTCCGAGATCGCCTCCGTGCGCAGCCGAAGCAAAAGTAGAGGCTCCGGGGATGCTTGAACCTGGGATGCCGTGGGACGTGGCACTGGCAGCATGACTCAGCATGACACTCTTCGCTGAGCTGCCATAGGTCACCACATCTGCTTGGAACCCCGGAAGGGTCAACAAGCACAAGGTCCGCTGCCAAAGCCCTGGCTGTGGTGGTCATGGCACATGACACTTGAACACAAGCTTTCTGTCCTCGCTTGGAGCAGGAGCTTATCGCAGAATTCCAAATGATCTGGTCGTGCAAACCCTCCTTGGCTGCATCATGCAGGCCTGTCTTGTAGGTTGGGATGGTGGCCCGGCTAGGTCTACGAAACACTGGCCTGAAAGGAAAGACCCCAGACGGGGTCACAGGCAGCAACATTGATTTGCAGAGATACGGAGCACGGCCGTCTGAGGCCGGCCGTGGCACTTCGAGCCAAGTCGCTGCCATGCTCTCGTACAGATGCAAAGCGAGATGCCACTGCGAAGCCTTACAGACTGGCAGGCCGGTACAGGAAGCCCCTTGGGGGCGTGACGTCGTGCCTTCTCGCAGACCGAAACTGCTGCTCCGAGGTGGTATCTATTGACCTGCCCAGGCTCCTAGAATCCTAGAAGGACTTTGTCACTTTTCGCACAACGAGCCAAGCGCCTCTACTGTAGAAGCAGACATGCACTTCAAGATCTGCGAGGCTACCTGTCAACTGCTTCACAACACAGAAAGTGAAAGGCCAAAACTGGCGCAGGTCCCCCACGCCTCCGGCACCTTCGGATGCAGCGATCGTAACACAGCCTCAGCTCACGACGACCCAGAACGCGATCACGGATCGACAGCGGCATGATGTGCACCTCGCTCGGCCTGGGTACGGTCGCGAACCTAGGCCTGGAGACCCAATCAGCGTCCTGCAAGGAGTTCGCCAGGATCCTCGACACCTGTCTTTAGGTTACAGAAGACAGAAGATACGAGACGGCACCCCCGGGAGCATGCCCTGCTGCCCTGCGGTGGTCACTCTTTGTTTTGGAGTCCCAGCCCGTCCTGCTGCTGAGATGGTTCTGGTCCCAGGGAGTTCAAGCGTGCAGCTAGATCCGCCACGGCCGTCATGCTCTCATATGCTCTCCACTACACGGCAGCACTTCAGAGGCTGCCAATAATCTTTGGCCAGCAGGATGCTACGGGGCCTTGAGCCCATGCGAAATGCCTCCGCCGACGAAGAAGGGGTGCCTATGCTCCAGAAGCTGACAAGCGCACGGCACTGACCTGAGAGTGCCCTGCAGGGCGCCTGTGGGGTTCATCACAAATGCATGACCACTGCCAAGTCGCATGCAGCGCAACTTTTCATGCAAGCTCCATCGTATTAGTGTCGGTCTCGGCTCGCAAAATACTTCACGGTAGTCACTGAATTTGCAGCGAAACCAACATAAGGAAACGAAGCCTATATGCGTTTGCTTGATGCTAACCGGCTAAATGAGCGTGCAGTCTAGATGTGTCTACATCATCTGGCGCAGTGGGCGCCTGGTGAGGAGCTAGTCGGAGGCAGTGAGACTGGGAATTCAGGTGCAAAGGGACCAGGGTGTTGTCGGCCACTTCCCTCTCCAGCTATGGTGAGGCGGCCGGCCAAATAACTGTTTGCCTAGTCGTTACACCTGCTGGGATCCCTTTGCAGGCAATCAATTGCGCTTACCCTTCAATCAAACGGTTTCATCCTTATCCTCGGACTCTGCAGGAGTTGCCGGTGCCTCCAAAGCATGTGCAATGTCAGACGGTCCGATGCCAAGCAACACTCGATGAAACTGCCTCTGTCGTGGGCTGGCTGTCCTCGAGGTAGGTCAAAGTCGATTCGGGCAGCCAGGCCGTAAGGGAGACCGAAGGAAATCGAACTTGCAGAGTGGCATCCTCCTGCGAGCCGTACATGTGCACACAAGTGAGAAAAAAGTGTGTTTCAGTGAGCCTTGTCGTGTTGCACCACAAAACCTTCCTGGCCGCTCAACTTAGCCAGTCGGTCGTCCCACTTCAGCGCAGAATGGGCCTGGTGCAAGCACACACGCAAAGCACATGCGCATGCGCACTGCAAGCCCCATCTTCCCTGTCGCCTCGACGGCTTCTAATAGTTGCTGTGTCTCGCAGGCTTTCACTCGCTTGCAAGGCTGCGTCAGTTCTTGGAGCATGCCTCAAGCAAGGCACGGCGCCTTCGAAATCTCGACAGCACAGCCGAGCATCCGAAAAGTGCTAATCGAGTGGCTCGTGGGAAGCCACGCTTTGAAGCCTAATGGAGGCGGAAATCTGACCTGCGCAGAACATAAACAGAGACTGCGCGACCAGCAGCGGCCGCGCTACTTCTTGCCGCGCACCCTTTTGCTGTTGTCCCTCCCTGCCTGTGCTGTGCCATCTGACTCGTCGTCTCTAAGAACGATGCCCTCGCAACCGCAGGCGTCTGCCAAGCGGTCGTCCCACTTCAGAGCCTGAGGTGCCATGCAAATTACGAAGACCGCGCAGGGCCGAAGTCTGTGAGGCCGAGGGGCGCTATGTGCTTCCACTGCTGGCTTCAGTTCCTCTAGCTTCGCAACCCTCACAGTTCTCATTGGCCTGAGCGCGAAAGGGTGCCGGTGAGCAAAGACAGAGGCCTGACACTCTGATGCGACTGAAATTGAGATGCCAGCTCTTGGTCGTTGATCAATAGCCGGTCAAGGCCTGGCGCATGAAACCGGCTCACCATACCATTCGGACAATCAACCAGTGACCTGCCTAACCCCGAACTCTCGGCCATGTCTCGCAATCGCCTAAGCTGCTTGCCACGTGCTCGTCCAGGCGCAGCAAGGCAAGTGAGCGAGAGAGAGAGAGAGAGGTTCTTTCTCGCCACCTGTGGCCAAGCGAGAGAGCGAGAGAGACAGAGGCAGCGCATCACCCGTGCCAGTTTCTCGGGCTTTAGGACGTTGAACGGTGGAACGAATGCCTTCTCTCCCTTACGCTTAGTGTAAGCCATGGGCGGGTTGTTCTGCAGCATCTCCCAAAGCTGATCTCGGGAAAGTGCATTACCTTTTGATCAGATGCTGTCGTCACCTTTAGCACTGCTTGCATCGAACTCCAGCCTTCAGAGTCTCCTCCCTCTCCCATCCCTCCAGTTGCACTCTCGGAGCTTGTCCTTGCCCATTCCGGGAAGTAGTGAGAGCAGACACAGGCACGCATAAGCCGGAGCCTATCCAGCCAGTTTTGGAACCAATCAACTCGTTCGGCAGAGCCTAGCGTTTCTTCTGCAGCCACACTGACGAGCATGCTGAAAACACGGTCACGCTGCCTTGCTCAAGTTCCTTACCTGGCCCTGGACCGTATTGGCTCAGCTCTGCTGCCAACTCTTTCGCAGCCTCGGGGTCGAGACGGAGCAACGAAGCGCAGTCGAAGAACTGTGATGTTTTCCGAACTCGGGAAGCAGCATCCGTTTCTTCGTCACTGGTCGCCAGCTGTTTCTCACAGTTGCAGTAGCGCCTGCACCAAGGTGCATGGCATGCATGGTGCATCAAGGAGGCTGGAGGAGGAAAACTTCAGTGGAGGCTCAGGCCATGGCTTCTCCAACGCTTGAGGCAGTGTAATCCCTGCATGCTCTGCCATCGATGCGTACGCCTGACAGCTGGCGCAAACTCTTCCACGTGCTATCGAGCACTCGAGCTCAGAAGTTGCTGTTGCGGGCCTGCCTTCCGGAAAGCAGCGTTTTCAGGCGCTTCAAACGGACCTGGAATAAACTCCACCGGCTCACCTGGCACCTCAGCCATCCCAGGAGCGCAGCGAAGCAGCACAGCGAAGCAGCACAGCGGCAGGAAACTCACTGATCCGGGAAGCCACGGGCAGTGCACCGTGCACTACCTTCACTACTGTATGCTCTCAGCATTGCTCTACGTTGGGTTCCACCGAGCATCTCAGATTCTGAATTTTGCCGTGAACATGGTGGCAATCACCTCATGTTCTGAGCAGTTTATGCTAAGCTTTTCGGTTCAACCTCGTACCGCGCAGAATTGAATGTTCGACAACGTCGCCACACCTGCTACCGATGAGGCGACATGACACATGATCTTGGATTCAAGAACTCTTGTTGTCTTATTGCAGACTAACCTTTGGACACTGAAGTGCAGAAGTGGGTGCTTGGATGCTGGGGTGCTGGGTGGAGTGTGGGACCGCGCAGGCAGAGTGCCGATGGGGGCTCTTTACTAATGTATGATAACAAGTCAGGTCTCCACCTGCAGCCACCCCATGCTTTGTGGAGAGCTCGTCTTCGTCTTCTTCTGCAAAAGGGAGCTCGTCTCTGTCGCTCTCTTCTTCCTTCGGGCATAAGGGCCGGGTCAGGCCCCCTGGCCGCATAGGCCCCTCACAGTTTGTAGGGCTTTCAGGTGGTTCGGGCGACACGGCTCTCTCTCTCCCTCTCTCTCTCTCTCTCTCTCTCTCTCTCTCTCTCTCTCTCTCTACCGGGACAGGAGAGGCGGGGCGAACCCTGACCCCTCCGCGCGCGGACGCGCACCCGCAGGTCAAGGCGGGGTTTTCGGAATTCCCCCAGAGGGTTATGCCCACTGGCGGCTCGGCTGTACGAAAAGCTCCGTAAGGAAATGCCCCCAACATGTCTGTAGTGAAGAAAGACAAACTGCACAGCACTGACCAAACAGAGTACTACACCCCCAAACAACTGCACTACAGACTGAGGCTCCGGCCGGCAAAGGGACAGTAATCCCCCAGACAAGTAACCACACGGGTTCGCAAAGCTTACTGGGCCCTAGTCAAGTTTCCCCCGGCCGGGAAGAGAGGGCAGGGCTACGACGGAGCGTACTGAATACTTTCCCCTTTCTTTGAGGGATTTGGGGCCTGATCCCCCATTGTAGGCAGCAGAGACCTTGTACAACAGCTTTATCCGAGGACTAGATCTAAGGTGGCGCTCGGGGGTCAGTGCGAAAGCAACACAGTTAGAGTTGAATGCAAGGACAACGGCTTGTATCATCACAGGACAATATCCCCCACATGGCACCAGTTTAACTATGTTCTGCCCCTGGCTGCCCCACTGTTCTCCGATCCCTCAGGAGGAACTGAAACGGAGGTCTCTCTCTCTCTCTCTCTCCTGGGCATAGGGACGGGTCAACGTCCCCGGGCCGAAAGGCCCACCCAATCGTGTGTTGGGCCACGGGGAGTGAAGAACGAGGGCAGTGCATCAATGAAGCAAAGGCTGAGGTTACAATGAAGGATTGATGACACTGCTCTCTCATATGACACCGTTGGCTGTCGAACTTGGGGGAAGAC